ATATCCATCTATCTATCTCACATCTCTCTCATCTCTCTTCTTCCCATATATCTATATACCATATATCTATATCTCTCTCATCTATCTATCCATCTATCCATCCATCTATCCATCCCCCCCCATCTATCTATCTATATCTATCTATCTATCTATCTATCTATCTATCTATCATCTCTCTCTCTCTCACACACACACACACCATATCTCCCTTCCTCTCTCTCTCTCTCTTGATTACTTTAACAACCAATTCTCTACAACATCCCATTTTTTTACAGTATGCCAGTCTCTGAAACTGAGTAAGCACCAGGAAATGTTCTTGAAATATATAGAGGAGTTTTGGAATACGTCCAAAGATATATTGCTGATAAAGGCTCCTGTTTAACCTTATTTGGTTATATTGTAGTTGTCCTCCTTACAAAATAGCTATGTTTTAATGACATTTACTTATTGCACAAACAGCCCATATTTCACAGCTGCTCACAGATGAGTAGAGGATCAAAGGGCAAGACGAGCAGGAAACTGATAAATACCAGTGGGGAAAAAAATCAAAGGGAAGGAAAGGATTTGATCCTTGCTGAGACAATTGTGGAATTAAGTGCCGAGCTAACCACCCTGTCTTGGGGGTAAGTATGGACTGGATTTTAAACCATCACTCTCCCTAAATGTTCTGCCCATATTGGCTTGAATGGGGTTGCCAGTATTGGATTGAGAGAAGGTGAGTTGTAAGAGGAAGTTAGATGAAAAGATCAAGAAATCTTAAGTTTCCTAGGGAAACTTAACTAGGCACTAGGGATTCGAACTGCTGAACTACCAACCTTTCAGTCGACAAGCTCAGCGTCTTAGCCACTGAGCCACCACATCCCTATTAGTTTGCATATTCCTTACCAAATGTTCCATTGGACCTTCTGGCTAACGATGGCACTAAGTCAATTGAATCAATTTCTTCCAGCCCTTGTCTCTTAAAAGTGCAAGTTATTCAGCTCTTAACTCTGGTTTGTTTGTTTTTTTCTCATTTGAATATGGGATAATAAGGGAATGGTACGAAAGAAGATAGGTTGGTTTAGGTCAGTGATGGCCAACTTTTTGGCATGTCGGGTCAAAAATTTGAAAATGTCTAACTCAGCTCTGCTGGCATGTCACCGACCGTCATCCCCTGAACAAAAGAGAAACAATTCTGTATATATCCATCTGTCCATCCATCCATCCATCCATCCATCCATCCATCCATCCATCCATCCATCTATCTATCTATCTATTTATCTATCTATCTATCTATCTATCTATCTATCTATCATCTATCTATCTAAATTAGATATTAGATATTTTAACTATCTTAAATTAGGCTGAATGATTTAATTATTTTAATAAGCTTTTAATTTTTTGTTGTACATTGTTTTTTACCACGGCTGTTCACTGGCCTGAGTCCTTCGGGAGAAGGGCGGTATACAAATATAATAAACTATCTATCTATCTATCTATCTATCTATCTATCTATCTATCTATCTATCTATCTATCTATCTCCCACAGTCCAATCATGAGGGATGCTATGTATTAACTAAACAAATATCAATTACCAGGGGTAGGGCGTTCTCTGTGGGTGCCCCCACCCTCTGGAATGAATTACCTACCAAGCTCCGGACGGCTCCTGATCTCCACTCCTTCCGTCGGGACCTGAAGACTTGGCTGTTCAAACAAATAGGCTGACTTTGATTCCGGGTTTTATTATTTACTATTAATTAGTTATTTGGTTTAAAATGGGATTTTATTGTACTTGTTTCTTAACTGTGTTCGCCGCCCTGAGTCCTTTGGGAGAATGGCAGCACATAAATACATGTAATAAATAAATAAATTACAAAAATGAAATACAAGTAAAGGCCATTCCCTTCTAACACTGATGACATTACGTGGTATGTGTGCAAGAAATCAACCAGGCTCAGAGAGTCCCAAGGAGCCCTCATATACTGAATTTTGCAGGATGGAGATAGTGTATTCTTAATGTCTCTGCCTGGTTCTCTCCTAGGTTTACCTACCAATGGCCGACCAAGAGACCACAGCGCTTGTGTGGTGGACAATAGCAGCAGAAACTGCAGAGCAGGCGTTGCGGGAGAGGACCTCCCCAGAATAGTACTTCCTCCCATCATTGGGAGGCCCAAGCAGCAGAGTGCAGTGGAAGACAGAAAGGCCTTCTACGTGGGAAGTGATGCTCAGAGCAGGAGAGACGTCTTGAGCTTGAGGTCCTCCTTTCATTTTGGCTTTATTAACAACTGGGATGACATGGAGAAAATCTGGCACCATGTTTTCTACAAAGAGTTGCAGTTGCAGTTGGCCCGGAGGAACATCCAGTCTTGCTTTCCGAGGGCTCCAGGGTCTTTAAGAGCGAGAGCAGAGAAGATAACCCAGATTATGTTCGAGAGCTTCAATGCATCAGCCTTCTACTTGGCCTTTCATGCCGTACTCTCCCTCTATGCTTCCGGCCGCACCAATGGAGTAGTTCTGGATATAAAGAACGACCGGATAGATCCTGTCCCCGTCTACGAAGCCATGCCCTTCGCCATACTCTCTTCCGCATGGACCTGGGTGGCGAAGACCTGACGGACTTCCTTCTGCAGATGCTGAATAAAAGAGGCTATCACATCAAATGGGAAGAGAGGGAGATGGTGGAGGACATCAAGGAGAAGTTTTGCTACGTGGCCCCGGATTTTGTGAAAGAAATGGCCACCGCTACACCCTCCTCTTTGGAGAAGCAGTATGAGCTACCCGACGGGCAAGTGATTACCATTGATTACTGAGCGTTACAGGTGCCCCGAAGGCCTCTTCCAGCCCGGATATCTGAATAAAGAATGTTGTGGCATCCACGAGATTGTCTTTAACGCCGTGATGAAGTGTGACCGGGATCTCCGCAGCACCATGTTATAAAATGTCGTGCTGGCAGGTGGCACCTCCATGTTCCCTGGCATTGCTGAAAGGTTGCAGACGGAACTGGCGCCACTGGTTCTCTCGAATGCCGAGGTCAACATCGTTGCCCTCCGAATCGCACGTGCTCATCGTGGGTTGGGGATCCCTCCTAGCGTCTCTTCCTCACTTTCAGCAAATGTGTATCAGCAAAAAGGAGTATGAGGAATTCGGCCAGCTCTTGTACACCGGAAGTGCTTTTGAGGGTTTTGGGGTTTTTTTTGCTTCTTCTGTTCAGTAGTTACATGTCAAAGTAATGTTAGAAGCAGAATAACAGAGTTGGAAGGGACCTTGGAGGGTCTTCTAGTCCAACCTCTTGCTTAGGCAGGAAACCCTTATACCCGTGATGGGGAACCTATGACACGTGTGCCACAGGTGGCACCCGGAGCCGTATCTGTGGGCACGTGAGCGTTTGCATATATATAGTTACTCTTCACTCTATTTTCTGGTTGCTATATGTCACCAATACTATTTTTTTTAAAAAAGAAAGCGATTTTCGACCGTAGATGACAAATCATCTTTTCTCCATCTCCAACTTGGGATAGTTGTGCAATATGGGTTTCTGTACTGTGGATTTTTAATATTTGTAAACCTCCCGAAGTCACTATGTGTAAGTTGGGCAATCAAATAAATTTAATAAATGAATAATCGGTTCAGTCATGATCCTCCAAAGATCTTAAAGTATTTTTGTAATACTTGTGTGATTAAAAAAAAAAAACCTTGAAGAATCCACAGGCTTTGATATATGCTTTGTGACTTAGTTTGTTTCTACTAGTTGCCAATATAAATAGAATAGAATAGAATGGAATGGAATGGAATGGAGTGGAGTGGAGTGGAGTGGAGTGGAGTGGAGTGGAGTGGAATGGAATGGAATGGAATGGAATAGACTAGACTAGACTAGACTAGACTAGACTAGACTAGACTAGAATAGAATAGAATAGAATTCTTTATTGGGCAAGTGTGATTGGACACACAAGGAATTTGTCTTTGGTGCATATGCTCTCAGTGTACATAAGGAGAATAAAATACATTCATCAAGAATCATGAGATAGGGTTTTACATTGGGTGAAGTAAAGCTGATACTGTATATGATAACAGCAGCGAGATTACTGATAGGTCAATATTGGAAAAATGAAGCTATGCCCACTATTGAAGAATGGACTTTGAAGATGGCCAGTTTTGGAGAGATGGCGAAGATTTCAGCATATTTAAAAGACTGGACACAAGAGATTTATGTATGGGAGTGGAAAAAGTGGATAGACTATGTGCAGAATAAATATCAAACTATGAAATAACAGATAGCTTTTAACTGAAAGTATTATATAGGGATAGAATAATTGAATTTTGTGAAGATGTGAAAAATATACAGGGGGTGGAGGGGTTCAAGTTTTATAAAATGTGATTTTGATTTGGATTATATTTTGTGGAAGTCCTGGGGGGAGGGGAGGGCTAGGGGGGGTTAGGGGGGGAAATTGAGGAGAAAATGTATTTGTAAAACTTTTCAATAAAAAAAAAAAAGAATCATGAGATACAACACTTAATGATAGTCAAGGTTACTAATAAGCTATCAAATCCTACTAAGAAACAAACAAAAACAATATAATTGAAAAAAAAACTGGCTGTTTTTAAAATTAATGACAATAAAAGCAATAGTCCGCTCCTCTCCCAAATGGGCTATGTAGTCCTACTGTACAGGGAATAAAAACGTCCACATTTCTTGCCTACCAAAGAATTGCAAAACTTTGGTATCTCGCCTGAAATACATTAAAAGGACGCCCCTGGCCTGCTCTAGCACTTTTGAATCCCGCGCGCCCTCGGAATCCCGCGCGCCCATTGGTCGCCGCCTACCCCCCCTTCTCTCTCTTGATTGGCGGGGACGCGGAAGGCCTCGACGCCACAAATGCGCCCGCCTTCCGGACTCCCAAAGCCGCGCCTTCCCTTCAAAGGACTGCAGTTCCCAGCATCCTTTTTTTTTTTAAACAAGGCGGACGGGAGAGGGGGCGGGACTTCCGGCGCGGTTGGCGTGTTCCCCGCCTCTTCGACGGACTCTTTTCCTTTTCCACCCGGCGCTGCTTGGCTTGAGCAGGGAATGTGAAGGGCTCGTTCCTGGACGCCTACAAGCCCCGGCATGCCTCGCGCGGGCTCGGGCAAGCGTTTCCGGTTGGAGCAGCCAGCTGGTTGTAAACAGGCAGGTAAGGAGGAATAAAGGGGGTTAGTGGGGGAGGGGAGGTTGGGGAGGGGGTGATATGGAGGGGCTGTTGGTGGGGGGAGGGGTCCCCTTTCCCTTCTCCCCCCCTTTTTTTCCCTCCCAGGAAGCATAGCAGGGAATCTGCGGGGTCCATTAGTCACCTGGGCAAAATATTATTATAAAGAAATGCAATATTGCCCAATGGGTAGAGCTGAGAAGTATGGCATTATTTGGGGTGGGGGAGACCCAACCCCTATGGTTGGTTTAATTCTATTTCCCTGCCTTTCCCTTACTCTGATCCTCTTCCAAGGAAGCTTCAGTGGGCTTTCCTCCCCTCCCCTCCCCCCATTTAAAAGTCTATCCTCCTCCTAACAACCCTGCGAGGTAGGCCAACTTGGGCCAACTCTGGCCTTATTTTCGCCTGGAAGAAGCTGGCCTGGTCTGGAGGCATAGAATTGGAGCTATTTTTTTAGATAGGGAGAGGAGAGAAAGAGAGAGAGACTACAGGCACCCATAGAGAATTCAAGACAAATTTGGGTGGGTGGGTGGGTGGATGTTCTCAGTCATCCAGGTCATGGTTCTTGAAAAAAGGGACCTTTGGGATAGATAGAAGATGGACGGTATATAGATTGATTGATTGATTGATCAATTGATACATAGATGGAAGATGAATGATATAGAATGGGATGGATGCTGTAGATAGATTGGTAGATAAGAGAGATAAGATGGAAGGAGGATGGATGCTGGATGGATGGAAGACAGAGAGATAGAAGATACATGGCAAATAGATGACAGACAGACAGACAGATAGATAGAAGATGGATGGATGATAGAGAAATAGATAGAAAATAGATAAATAGCTGGATAGATAGAAGATTGATAGATGGGAGTGAGAGAGAGAGACAGACATAGATGATGGATGGATGGATGGATGGATGGATGGGTGGGTGGGTGGAAAGACATAGATGGATACTGGTAGAACAGAATAGAATAGAATTCTTTATTGGCCAAGTGTGATTGGACACACAAGGAATTTCTCTTTGGTGCAGAAGCTCTCAGTATACATAAAAGAAAAGATACATTCGTCAAGGATCACAAGGTACAACACTTAATGATAGTCAAAGGGGACAAATAAGCAATCAAATCATATTAGGAAACAGTCAATATAAATCTTAAGGATACCAGCAACAAGGTTACAGTCATACAGTCAGGAGTGGGAGGAGATGGGTGATAGGAACGATGAGAAGATTAATAGTAATGCAGACTTAATAACTAGTTTGACAGTAGATAGATGATAGATAGATAGATAGATAGATAGATAGATAGATAGATAGATAGATGACAGACAGATTCTCTTGTTTTTCCAGATTCTGCTTGGAGTTCGGATTGGGACCTCAGAGAATCAAGCCACCACAACCCCACCATGTCTCTCTCTGAGTGTTACATCGCGGTGAAGCTGGCCGACCAACCCCTGGCTCCCAAATCCATCTTGCGGCTGCCGGAAAGCGAGCTCGGCGAGTGCCCGCTGGGGGGTTGCAGCATCTCGTACCTGAAACAGCTCATTACGGGAAAGTTACAGGAGTCCATCCCTGACCCGGAGTTCATTGGTAGGCTGGTGCATCGTCGTTTTATCCGAGACCCAGGTTGCTCTCCAAGGCCCTGGGAAAGAGCTATAGGCAGTGGTGGGATTCAGCCAGTTCGCACCACTTCGGGAGAACCGGTTGTTAACTTTCTGAGCAGTTTGGCAAACTGGTTGTTGGAAGAAATCATTAGGGCAGAGAACCGGTTGTTAAATTACTTGAATCCCACCACTGGCTATAGGCCAGTGTTTCTCAACCTCAGCAGCTCTAGGATATGTGGATTTCAACTCCCAGAATTCCCCAGCCAGCTCCTTGCTTTTTTTTTTTTGAACTTGGGCCTCAGATCAAAGAACTGAAAATGCAATGGTGTAAAATACAGGTAGTCCTTGATTTATGGCCACAATTGAGCCCAACATTTCTGCTGCTAAGCAAAGCAATGGTTAAGTGTGTTTTACCCCATTTTAGAATAGAATAGAATTCTTTATTGGCCAAGTGTGATTGGACACACAAGGAATTTGTCTTCGGTGCATAAGCTCTCAGTGTACATAAAAATAATACATTCATCAAGAATCATAAGATACATAAAAATATATTCATCAAGAATCATAAGATACATAAAAATATATTCATCAGGAATCATAAGATACATAAAAATATATTCGTCAGGAATCATAAGATACATAAAAATATATTCATCAAGAATCATAAGATACATAAAAATATATTCGTCAGGAATCATAAGATACATAAAAATATATTCATCAAGAATCATAAGATACATAAAAATATATTCATCAAGAATCATAAGATACATAAAAATATATTCATCAAGAATCATAAGATACATAAAAATATATTCATCAAGAATCATAAGATACATAAAAATATATTCGTCAAGAATCATAAGATACATAAAAAATACATTCATCAAGAATCATAAGATACAACACAGTGATAATCACAGGATACTAAATAAGCAATCAAATCATATTAGGAAACTAAATAAAACAATCTAAATCGTAAAGATACAAGCAACAAGGTTATAGTCATAAGCGGGAGGAGATAGGTAATAGGAAGGATGAGAAGAAGAATAGTAATACAGTCTTAGTAAATAGTTTGACAGTGTTGTGGGAATGAGTTGTTTAGCAGAGTGATGACATGCAGGAAAAAACTGCATGTGTCTAGTTCTGGTGTGTAATGCCCTATAACGTCCTTTTTTTGTGTAAAAGTTTTTTTTTAAATTTTTTTACACAAACACATAATACATCAATCCTCCTGTGTGTCATCTCGGTGTTTCTTCAGTAACTACTTCTTCTTTTTGATTACTCCTATCTTCATTTCTTCCCTTATAATTTCCATTTTCCTATTACGATATTTCCCCCCAAGTACAATACATTTAATATAATATTCTCCTATTTCATTATCAAAATCTTTATCTATTTCTCTTTTCTAACCAATCATAAAATTTCCCCCATATCTTAAAATATTCCTTATCTTCTCGCTCTTTAATCATCAAGGTTAATCTATTCATTTCTGCACAGTCTAAAATTTTTTTTAATTACTTCCCCTTCCAACGGGATTTTCTCTACTCTCCATCTTTGCACAAATACTATCCTCGCTGCAGTTATTATATGAATAATCAAATATACACTTTCTTTACTAAGCAAGATTATTGCTATGTATGAATTAAATATAAAGATAGTTAATAATTATAAATATGCTAATATAATTAACAGAATTATAAATAAGCCAATATAAAGAGAAATTTAGCCAAAACTATTCAGTTACGTTACCGCTATTGTTATCTGTATATGTGTTAATATTTCTTTTTGTCTTTTCTTTATTTTTCTTTTGTAAATGATATACCCTGACAATGCACTGTATTCAAAATGTTTATGAACAAACAAAGAAAAAAAAAAGAATATAAGTCTCATCTGCCTTTCAGATCTCATCTATTGTGGCCGGAAACTGCGGGATGAACAAACCCTCGAATTCTACGGGATTCAGTCCGGCTCTACCATCCACGTCCTCCGAAAATCCTGGCCCGAACCGGAGCAGAAACCAGGTAACTTCCCCACTTTGTCTCTCAAATTGCTTTTTTAATGGTTTTATTGCAGGTAGTCCTTGACTTACGACGACAACAGAGCAGGGGTGAAATGCTCCCGGTTCGGACCGGATCGCCCGATCCGGTAGCGATGGCGGCGGGTTGTTCGGAGAACCGGTAGCAAAAATCCCTGCGCCCTCCCCCACCATGCTCAGCTGAGTCGCACGATCATCAGAGGCTTTTTTTTTTTTTTTTTACTTTTACTTTTAAAAGCCTTTTTTCTACAACCTCTTCCGACGAAAAAATGCTTTTAAAAGTAAAAAAAAAAAAGCCTCTGATGATCGCGCGGCACAGCTGGGATCGTCAGAGCCTTTTGAAAGCATTTTTTTACGACCTCTTCGCCGAAGAGGTTGTAGGAAAAATGGTTTTAAAAGTTAAAAAAAAAAAAATGGCCACGCCCACCCAGTCACATTACCCCCGCCCCCACCACCAAGCCACGCCCCCAGAACCGGTAGTAACAAATTTTAGATTTCACCACTGATTTGTACCATACATTCCATACGAAATACTCCTCCGTTTCTCCTTTCTCCCTTATTTCTTTTGTCAGTCTATCCATTTCAGCGCATTCCAGCACTTTTCTTATCACCCTTGTCTCTTCTACAGAGCCGGTGGATAAAATGGCGGCCGTGAGAGAGTTTCGCGTCTTACACACGGCTTTACACAGCAGCCCCGTCTTCAGAGATTCGGTGAGTCATGAAAGTTTGCTTTTTCTTTTTGGGCTTTTTATTTTGCTTCCCCAACAAACACACAACTGCACTTCTCTCTCTTTTTTTTTTTTGGGTTTTAAATTTTTTATTAATTTTTTTTTTTAAATAACATTACAAACAACATATACAATACTTCACCCTGTGCTATACGTAAGAAAGGAAGATTTGGTTCTTCGGATATATCCTCATGATTGCCAAAATCCACGTTCTCGAGGTACAGGTACCGAAGCATCCAATTTTCCCAGCGCATAGTCCACGAATGGTTTCCAAATTTTCCAGAAAATATCTTCTTTATAGACACCATTTCTAACTTTAACATCGCATGCCATTTTATCGTTTAAAGCTAATTTCCACATTTCACAATACCGTTCTTCTATTCTAAAATATGAGAAAGAATTGATTAGAATTATGATTATAACGGGTAGAATTATAATAGCCAGATATTGGAAATTAGATGTGAATTTTAGAACAACTGGACTTCTCCAGGATCCTGTTGTTTCTCTCGTGTGAATCTCCCTTTGGTTTCCCACGCAGGTCTTCAAGATGTTGGGGAATAAGGAATCCCTGGATCAGATCATTATCGCCACCCCCGGCCTCAGCAGTGATCCCATCGCTTTGGGTGAGTCTTAGTGACAAATAGCAGCATGTAGACTTATATACCGCTTCCCAGTGCTTTTACAGCCCTCTCTAAGCGGTTTACAGAGTCAGCCTCTTGCCCCCAACAATCTGGGTCCTTGGAAGAATGGAAGGCTGAGTCAACCATGAGCCAGTCAAGATTGAACTCCTGACAGTGGGCAGAGTTAGCCTGGAATGCTGCATTCTAACCACGGGAAGGGAAGGAAGGAAGGAAGGAAGGAAGGAAGGAAGGAAGGAAGGAAGGAGGGAGGGAGGGAGGGAGGGAAGGAAGGAAGGAAGGGCACTTAGACTTATAAACTGCTGCCTCACAGCCCTCTCTAAGTGGTTTACAGAGTCAGCCTCTTGCCCCCAACAATTTGGGTCCTCATTTTACTCAAGGATGTAAGGCTGAGTCAACCTGGAGCCCGTCAGGATCAAACTTCAGACCATGGATAGAGTTTGCCTGCAATGCTGCATTCTAACAGGAAGGAAGGAAGGAAGGAAGGAAGGAAGGAAGGAAGGAAGGAAGGAAGGAAGGAAGATCGCTTAGACTTATATACCGCTTTATAGCCCTCTCTAAGAGGCTTACAGAGTCAGCCTCTTGCCCCCAACAATCTCAGTCCTCATTTTACCGACCTCAGAAGGACGGAAGGCTGAGTCAACCTTGAGCCGGTCAGGATCAAACTCCTGGCAGTGGATAAGAGTGAGTTTTGCCCCATTTTACGACTGTTCTCGCCCCGTTTGTGAAGTCAATCACTGCAGTTGTTAAGTTAGTAACGCGGTCATGAAGCGAATCTGACTTTGCTTGTGAAAGGTCGCAAAAAGGGGAAAATCACATGACCCGCCGGGACATTGCAGCAGTCATAAATAGGAGTCAGTTTTCAAGCATCTGATGGTAAATCACATGACCACGGGGATGCCGCAACGGTCGTAAGTGTGAAAAACGGTCATAAGTCGCTATTTTCCAGTGCTGTTGTAACTTCGAACCGTCACTAAATGAACGGTTTTGTAAGTCAAGGATTACCTGTATTGGCTCATTACTCCTCCTACTCTCTTTATCTCTCAGGGGTCCTGCAGGATAAAGACCTTTTCTCTGTTTTTGCAGACCCAGCCATGCTGGACACGTAAGTGTGCTACCGATGCTTTTCAAAATCCATTTTTCTCTTTCATTGATTGATTGATTGATTTGTAAAAATTTATTCGCTTCCCATCTTGCCATACGGTAACTCTGGACGGCTTATATTCAAAGGTAAAACTGCATAATTGATAATATAGTCCTTGAATTATGACTACAACCGAGGCCAACCTTTTATGTTGCTAACTGAGACATCTGTTAAGTGAGTTTTTTGGCCCATTTTAATGACCTTTCCCGTCACTGTTGTTAAGCGAATCAGGGGCAGTTGTTAACCTTCCTGACACATTTGTTAAGTGAATCCGGCTTTCCCCATCTGACTTGGCTTCTCAGAAGGTCGCGAAAGGGGATCACATAAATATGAGTCGGTGGCCAAGGGTCTGAATTTTGATCTCCTGACCCATGAGGATGCTGCAATGGTCATAAGTGTGAAAAGTGTTCATCACTCTCTTTTTCCAGTGTCGTCGTGACTTGGAATGGTCATTAAAAGAACCGTTGTAAATTGGGCACTACCCATATCCTGGAAATCCGGCAGATTTTAGACTGAGGGATAGACTAGGTGAGCTTCGAGGCCATAGCAATAGCACTTAGACTTATATACCGCTTTACGGTGCTTTCCAGCCCTCTCTAAGCGGTTCACAGAGTCAGCCTTTTGCCCCCAACAATCTGGGTCCTCATTTTACCCACCTCGGAAGGACGGAAGGCTGAGTCAACCTTGAGCCCATCGGGATCGAACTGCAGACTGTGGCAGAGTTAGCCTGCAATACTTCATTCTAGCCACTGTGCCACCATAGAAGGGAGGGGGGAAGGGAAAGGAAGGGAAGGGAAGGGAAGGAAGGAAGGAAGGAAGGAAGGAAGGAAGGAAGGAAGGAAGGAAGGAAGGAAGGAAGGAAGGAAGGAAGGGCAATAGCACTTAGACTTCTATACCGCTTCACAGTGCTTTCCAGCCCTCTCTAAGCAGTTTACAGAGTCAGCCTCTTGCCCCCAACAATCTGGGTCCTCATTTGACCCACCTCGGAAGGACGGAAGGCTGAGTCAATCTTGAGCCTGGTGAGATTCGATCTGCCAAATTGCAGTCAGCCGGCAGTCAGCAGAAGTAGCCTGCAGTACCGCATTCTAACCACTGCACCACCGAGGCCATCCAAACTCTATGATTCAGGGACACTCTAGCCCTCCTCCCCAATTCATTCTCGCTGGTTTCTCTAGGCTCATCCCAAGCCACCCTGCTTTGGTGAATGCCATCGTCTTGGTCCTCCATTCTGTGGCAGGCAGCGCCCCCTTGCCCACCGCAGAGACCTCCTCGCGCAGCAGCATGCCTTCCAGCTCCTACCGCGACATGCCGGGTAAGGGACATGCTATGACGCGGAGCACAAATTGCCAGATTTAACACTTGGGGGGGAGGGGCTACAGGGAGTCCTCGCTTAAGGACCATTCGTCTAGAGACTGTTTGAAGTGCCAGTGGTGTTGAAGGAATGGTCACTGAAATGGCAGATCTTGACCGTGGGTGTCCGGTGGGAGAGGCCTGATTTTAGGAGGAGGTTCAGTGTGGTTTCTTTCCTTCTCCTTCTCTCTTGTCCAGGAGGGTTCCTTTTCGAAGGCCTCTCTGATGATGAAGATGACTTCCATCAGGTAACGGGAGAAGACCGGGGGGGGGGGGGGGGGGGGGGGGGGCGTCTCTGAGAAGGAAAGCCCAACACTAAGAGTAGAGTGGAGTGGAAGGGATGGGACTGTGAATAGAAATAGAAGTAGAAGTAGAAATAGAAATAGAAATAGAATAGAAATAGAAATAGAAATAGAAATAGAAATAGAAATAGAAATAGAAATAGAAATAGAAATAATAGAAATAGAAATCTTGCAATCTTGCGAGATCCGGCCATGAATGGTGTGCATGGGCTTTTAATGTTTTTAAAATGTTTTTATAATGTTTTTTAATAATTTGTCTATGTTCATTGTTCGCATTACTTTTGCTGTAACCGCCCAGAGTCCCTTGGGAGTTGGATGGCATAGAAATGCGATAAATTAAATTAAATAGAAGTAAAGTAGAAGTAGAAATAGAAATAGAAATAGAAATAGAAATAGAAATAGAAATAGAAATAGAAATAGAAATAGAAATAGAAATAGAAATAGAAATAGAAATAGAAATAGAAAGAGTAGAATGGAATGGAGTGGAGTGGAGTGGAGTGGAGTGGAGTGGAGTGGAGTGGAGTGGAATGGAATGGAATAGAGGAGGAACTGGAACCGGAACTGAACCGAACCGGATTGAACCGAACCGAACCGAACCAAACAGAACAACAGAACAGAACAGAACAGCAGAACAGAATATTTGGCCAAGTGTGATTAGACACACAAGGAACTGGTTTCCGATGCAGAAGCTCTCAGCGTACATGCAAAGCAACAGAATAATCATCACCAACACCACCACAACAATACTACTAATAAGAGGTGGGGGGGGGAGAGCAAAGAATATAATAAAGATAAGCAGAACTACATGGCACTGTGAGAATCAGGTGTTCAGCAGAGTGAAGGCACGAGGGGAAAAAAATCTGTCCCTGTGTCCAGTTGTTTTGGCATGCAATGCCCTACTGTAGCGGCATCCAGAGGGAAGGAGTTGAAACAGTTTACGTCCAGGATGTGAGGGTGTCTGCAGGTATCTTCTGATCCCTCTTTCTGACCTGCACAATATCCAGGTCTTCTACAAGTTGAGGAGGCACCTCTTTGGGTCCTTCAAGAAATGCAAACAGGTCTGGGCTCATTTCTACCTCTGGAAGGAGAATCTACCATAAATTCAGGCTGCCACTGAGAAGGCCTGTTTGCCTGATCCACACCCTGGGACTTTCCCCAGATCTTCTCTTGGGAGTAATAGGAGATTATTCCCATTTTTTATGGGGTCGTTAAAAGAAGAAGATGATTAAATGTGGCTTTTAAAAACTCCTGAATTTCTCAGCAGCCTCTTCTTGTCACCTGTAGGAGCGGGGCTTAAGGATTTCTACCAAAGCATTGTCCTGATTGAAGCCTCTCCTTTCCCAACAGAGCACAAGGACCACGCCATCCAGCAGCACCTCTGGATCCCGGCCGGCGTCTCTTGGCTACACCGGCGCCGCGGGGCCTCGGCCCATCACGCAGAGTGAGTTGGCCACGGCCCTCGCCCTGGCCAGCACCCCAGAGAGCAGCTCACAAACTCCGACGCCTGGAACGCAGGTCAGCTGGGGGCAGAGAGAGAGTGGCTGATCTCAAAAGCCACCAGTAGAGTTTCTAGTCCAGGGGTGTCAAACTCGATTTCATTGAGGGCCGCATCAGGGTTGTGTTTGACCTTGTGTGTGTGTGTGTGTGTGTGTGTATGTGTGTGTGTGTGTGTGTCCAGGGTGGGCATGGCCAGCATGACGCCAGTAGTGTCGGGGCGACTGTGGTGGCCTGAGCGCTCTGCCAGCGAAAACGGGCTCTGAGTTCCGTTTTTGGCTGCGACCACTTCCTGCAACCCTCCTGCCAGCAAAAACGGAGCTCAGGAGGGGGGGGGCATGCACGGCCCTTGTGAGCTCCGTTTTCGGCTGAGACAGCCTCCTGTAGCACTCTGCTCGTGAAAACGGAGCTCGGGTGGGGGAGCACGCACGGCCCTGGTGAGCTCCGTTTTCAGCTGGGATGGCCTCCTGCAAACCACCTGCCAGCGAAAACAGAGCTCGGGTTGGGGGGGCACACACGGTCCTTTTGAGCTCCGTTTTCAGCTGGGACGGCCTCCTGCAACACTCTGCTCGCAAAAACGGAGCTCAGGAGGGCCATGCGTGGCCCACGTGAGCTCTGTTTTCATGGGCAGAGGCACTGCGGAACGGTCCTTCACTATTTCCAGGGTGGCTCCTTGGGCCAGATCCAGCCCCCCGCGCCTTGCGTTTGACACCCCTGTTCTAGTCCCTCTTGAGAGGTGGCAGAGGAGACTGATAGTGAGAAAGAGTTGGTCTTGGTGTTAACTCAACCTTGGCAACTTTAAAGCTTTGTGGACTTCCCCAGCCAGTTTGGGATTGCAGTCCAATTTATCTGGAGGGCACCAGGTCGAGGAATTGTTGGTGTTAGGGCAGGGCTGGGTTTCATAAAATGGTTTGGAAGAAGAGCTTTGGATTTGTGCAAGCGTCTCCTTTCAGGCTTCCTCACAAGTAAAAAAAAGAGAAGAAAGATATAGCTGCTTTAATGAATGGAATCATTAAAGCAGCGACGACTTTAGCGTGCCTTTTAAAGCAGCTGCATCTTTCTTTCGGGTTGGCAGAAAAGACTGAAAAAACTTGGGTAGATAATGTGAATAAGCTTGAGTTATGAATTTTGTTACACTTATAACCTTCCTTGGTGCTAAGATGGCTGATAAGCCAGGAGCGGATCTTGCAAGGTTAGGAAGGCGGGGTCTGCTCCTGATTGACAGTTTCTGTCTTCCCCTTTTTCAGGGCCATTCTTCTGGCACGTCTCCCATGTCTTCTAGCGTGCAGTCGGGAACACCCATCACCAATGACCTCTTCAGCCAGGCCTTACAGCACGCCCTCCAGGCATCAGGACAGCCTAACCTTCAGGTCGATAAATCTCCAGGAAGTTGGGATGGTCATTCATTCATTCATTTATTCATTCATTCATGTCCTTGCATTTCAGTTCAGCCCTCCGATAGTCTAAATTAGGAAACCGTAGGCATCCCAGACCACCAAGCCTAAATCTCAAAAATGCTGGGAATTCCTGGCATCCAGACAAATTAGCCATCAACGGACACACAGACATAAACCACATTTACACACCATTCAAAAGAGGAAATGAAAAAAAGCTAAGGAAACAAAAAGACCAGACTGCACCCTCTTCTGTAGCTTACTCTAGATAAGCAGGGATTAACACTAGACAAACAAGCAGAAAACAATTCCCTTCTACCAAGGAAAGTACCAAGGAAACCTCCCCACACCCACACCCAACACTGGCAGAGCAAGTTCTCTGTACAGAGAAGAGAGAGCAAAGAGAGCAAACTCCACACTTACGCTGATGATGACATATAGTTGGGTAATGGAAAGTCTGCAAACAATCAAGCTCAGAGAGCCCCAAGGACTCCACAGTTGTCTAAATATCTAGTTCTGCTGGTTTCTTCCCAACGCCCCAGTGAGGTAGGCAAGGCTCAACGGTGACGGGTATGTGAGATATTTGAATCTTGCACCGGGGGTCAGGCTATGTCAGAATGTTCGCAGCGTGACTACTATTAGGAGACAACCCAGGAGCAAAACACAACACACATAGCCTTAGACATTTAACAATGGTTTATATACAAGACATACACAGAAATATATGTGGTATGCAAATGCCCAGCAAGCAATCAAACTTCTTCTTAACTCTACACGGAGAACTCAGCAATGAATACCAGACACGAGAGAGACTATGCCCTCTCTTGGCTGAAATTTATAAACACCTCTTAAAGGGGTAAAAGACTTTTGTGGACCCCTTCAGAGTCTTAAACTGGCTATACCAGTGGTGAAATCCAATTTTTTTTACTACCGGTTCTGTGGGCGTGGCTTGGTGGGCATGGCAGGGGAAGGATACTGCAACATCTCCATTCCCTCCCCACTCCTGGGGGAAGGATATTGCAAAATCTCCATTCCCACTCCACTCTGGGGCCAGCCAGAGGTGGTATTTGCCGGTTCTCTGAACTGCTCAAAATTTCCACTACCGGTTCTCTGAACTGCTCAAAATTTCTGCTAGCGGTTCTCCAGAACCTGTCAGAACCTGCTGGATTTCACCCCTGGGCTATACTAATGCTGATTTATTCTCATTGCATCAGCCTTACATTTCATCAGCTTTACAGTTGCATTAGCCTTACATTGGCTGGTCAGCTTTAAATCATCATTACCCTGACAGGCTATATCCGTGTCCATGACGGTGTTTGACGTGGTGTCTTTTCCTCTTGTTTTGCTTCCCTCTTTCAGAGCCAGTGGCAGCCCCAGCTGCAGCAGCTGCGAGACATGGGCATCCATGACGACGAGCTGAGCCTCCGTGCCCTGCAGGCCACCGGGGGAGACATCCAGGCTGCCCTGGAGCTCATCTTTGCGGGAGGAGCCCCTTAGCCATCCCCAAGGCCTCCCCCCATCCCGCAGGAGGTGATGGTGTGCATCCGACCTCCGCCCCACCAAGTCAGCCCTTTGACGCGCGTCGCCTCCCCGTTTCCCGGTGTGCTCTTCCTCCCTCACGTCATCCAGAGTCTAGAACGTTGTGTCCATCTCGTTCTCCTGGTCTCCGGACGATGGCCGTTGCATCGGGGAGCTCTGAACATCGGACTGAAGTTCAGCAAAATGGCTGCCTTAAGATGGGGAATGTTCCAGGATCAGAATTTTGACGGCTGCTCCAGAAATGATCCAGCTTTGCCGCCTCCCGAAAAGGCTTCCTTGATAACGTCAAGAATACGCTCATTTTTTCCCCCCCTCTTCCGTGTGGTGGTTTTATTCCTGCTCTGGCCAAGATCCCTTTGTGGTTTGCTGGACTCTTTAAACTGTCTCAATAAATCTGGTTTCCTCCAGATTATCCTTTGCTTGTTTCTTGCTGCTGCTAGTTAGGTGATCACCGCAGGTAATCCTTACCACCATTTTATTTTAGTTTGCTTTTTTATTTCAGTTGCCCCCGGAGATAAGGAGAATCCATGACCTCAATGCCTTCCGTCGTTCCCTGAAAACCCATCTTTTCCAGCAAGCCGGGTTGGCTTAAGAAGAAATTTTAAAATTCTTTTAATTAGTCTGTGATTTTTAACTTTCGGGCCAAAATTTATATATATTTTTAAATGTTTTAATATTTGTATTCTATGTTTTTTATCTTGGCTGTACACCGCCCTGAGTCCTCAGGGGGAAGGGCGGTTTATAAATTGGAAATTAAATTAAATTAAATTATTTGTTCCGTTCCAAGGTTTTCTCTCAGCCCCAGGAAGGAGACAATGGCGAACCACTTTGGAAAAACCTTGAAAAAGAAAACCTGCAGGCCGTCTCTGAGAATACGAAACCATTGAACGGAAGTCCCCAAAAGTGCGTTTTTTTTAAGGAGGCAACTGGACTTCCTTGTTTTTTTTTTTGTTTTTTTTTTCGAGAAATCTTTCTCAGAGCTGAAGAAGCTTCTTGGATGAGAAGCGAAACGTCTTCAAAAGAAAAAAAAAAGAAAGTCCAGTTGTCTATTGAAAAATAGGCACCTTTGGGACAACATAATGAACTGGAGGACTGAGAATCTCTAGAGACCCGTGATGGCGAACCTATGGCAGGCGTGCCCGGAGTGGCACATGGAGCCATGTCGCCTGGCACGCGTGGCGTCGCCCCATTCCTCTTTCGGGTTTCTGGCGCGCATACGCATGTGACGATCAGCTGCCATTTTTGCCTGCGGCAGTGCTGGAAACTAAAAGAGCTAGTCTTCCGTTTTCCGGCGTGAGCATGTGCGCTGGCCAGCTGATCGTCGTGTGCGCATGTGCTCCAGAAACCTGGAAGAGTAGCTGGCTGAAACCGGAAGTTCAGTAACTGAAACGCCCAGCCAGCTAATTTTCGGGCCTTCTGGGCCCACTGGAAGTTGGGAAACTGGCAGTTTCTGGCCTCCGGAGGGTCTCCGGGTGTATGTGTAGGGAAGGCTGTTTTTGCCCTCCCCAGGCTCCAAGAAAGTCTCTGGAGCCTGGGGAGAGCAAAAAATGGGCCTTTTGGTCCCACCAGAAGTCAGGAAATGGGACGTTTCCGGCCTCCAGAGGGCCTCCAGGGGAGCGGTGGAGTGGGGAAGGCCGTTTTCGCCCTTCCCAGGCTCCAAGAAAGCCCCTGGAGCCTGGGGAGGGTGAAAAATGGGCCTACCTGGCCCACCATGCCATCACGAGCCAAAAGCGGGGGTCACGCACGGGGGGGTGTCACACGTGCATGCGTGGGGGTGGGACATATTGAATTATGGGTGAGGGCATATGAAACCCCCCTGCGCTCCCCCCCGTTTTTGGCACACAACGGCAAAAAGGTTCGCCATCTCTGCTATAGACTTTGAACGGAAGAGAAAAAATAATAATCTTTTTGGACTGCAGAGGGCGCTGTTTCTCCATCACCAATGCAGCACCACCTTAGAAGATTTCAACCCAGCTATTCAGAAAAAAGTGATTTTTGGGAAGAACGTTTCCCCTTTCCCCCTTCTATTTTTTTTTTTTTTAATCTGCTGGGTTCCTGCCTCCACGACCTTTTTAGAGCACTTTCAGGCAGCGGATCCTTGGGGTGGAACGAGAATCGCTGCTTTTTGACCGGCAGGAATGAAAGAATCCTTTCAGTAAGTGAAAAGTGCATTGTGCTACGTTGGAGAAGTAGGGAATCGCAATCGAGGTTTTTCCAGAAACTCCCAAAACATCCTTTCTCGTAGATGGGAGGGGAACCCAGATGGACCACAATGGAATGCTTTTACAGGTAGTCCTCGCTTAACGACCGGCCGCGTAGCGAATTAATTTATAACGGGCTCTCCACCTGTCAAAGATAAATTACGAATTGGTTCTGCAGCATTCAGAATTTATGATATCTTTTTGCTAGTTTCTCTCCTGTTTTTTTGGCTTAGCAATGAGAATTTGAATTCGTAAGTCAGGGCTTTCCAAACTTAGCAACTTTTAAGATTTGTGGACTTCAACTCCCAGAATTCCTCAGCCAGCAATGGAAATTTGGGTCGTAAGTCAAAGTAAGCAACTTTTAAGATTTGTGGACACAAATTAACTTTAACTTGGTTAAGGAGTTAAAGGAGCCTTGGTAGTACAGTGGTTTAAAGCACCCTGTTATTAAGACCAGCTGCCTGCAATTACTGCAGGTTTGAATCTCGCCAGGCTCAAGGTTGACTCAGCCTTCCATCCTTTCTAAGGTAGGTAAAATGAGGACCCGGATTGTGGGGGCAATAAGCTGACTTTGTATAAATATACAAAAGGATGAAGGCTATTGATGAGCACATTGTAAGCTGCCCTGAATCTCCAGAGAAGGGTGGCATATAAATCAAATTAAAAAAACAACTTTAAAATTAACTTTTAAGATTTGAAGTCCACAAGTCTTAAAAGTTCCTGAGTTTGGAGACCCCTGTCATAAGTCAAGGACTATCTTCAATTCTAAATGCTCTTTTTAAATGGAACGTAAGGAACCTAACCTTTCCAACATTCCTTTCCCCCGCCCCATCCCCCTCCAGCACTGATGATGTTCCCTAGTTGGGTCACGAAACGTCTTTAAGAAAACAACCAAGCTCAGAGAGCACCTAGGATTCCCTCGTTTCAACCCCGAACTACAAATATTTTCCTTTATTGAAACTTGTGGGTTTTTTTTTTATCAAACTAGATTAGAGCCTTGGTCTGAGGCCCTCCCCATCTCCCAAAGCCCTCTCCCCAGCCCCTCTCAAGTGATGGAAGACCTCCAAGCAGGCTCCCCTTTACCGATGATGGCTCCAGCACACCCACTCAACTTTCAAAGGCTGAAAGGTGTGAACCCACCATGTTGGGTTCCCCCCCAGTGGCTTTTCCACGGCTGACTTCAGATCGACGGAAAGACATTTTCAGAATGAGTTTTGCAAACACCCCAAGTCTTCCTCGCCCCGTGCTGAAGGCAAACGCTTTCTCGGCTGAAACTCAAGAAAATTGGAACCGCAGCCTCAGCCCTCCTACCCAGAAGCGGAGGATAAAGTAAGAAAAATAAGAAACGTGACAAATGTTGAACTGTATTTGGTAGTGCGGTTGCTGCTATTTGAGTTCGCACCTCTGCCCACGAGAACCATTTGCCCTCCAGAGCTGCAGAGGTGCAACGGAATGGTTGACTCTTTCTCACTTCAGGTGTGCACTGGAAATTCAATTAAAAAAAAAACAAACCCACAGATTTCCTGCCTTCAAATTTTTTCCGGTTAACTCTTATGTTGCGGTGAGTGTGTTTTCTCTATTTCCTGACCATCTTCTGCCATTTCCAGTCATCTTAACGCAGCCAAGATTGGGGGAAACTGCTCTAGTGGATATCAACTGATTTTCAAAGCCACTAATAAAATTCTTGCGTGTCCCGTGAGGTGGAAGGGAGGACAGATAACGAGAGTCTAAACTAGTGCTTCTCAACCTTGGGGGATTTGAGACTTTGTGGACTTCAACACCCAGAATTCCCCAGCCAGCCTAGGATTGCAGGTTGGGGGATTCTGGGAATTAGAAGTCCACAAAGTTGGCAACTTGAAACTTTGTGGATTTCAACTCCCAGAATTCCCAGCCAGCCTGGGATTGCAGGCTGGGACATTCTAGGAATTGGAAGTTTACAAAGTTGGCAACTTGAAGCTTTGTGGATTTCAACTCCCAGAATTCCCTAGCCAGCCTTGGATTGCAGATTGGGGGATTCTAAGGAATTGGAAGTTTATAAAGTTGGCAACTTGAAACTTTGTGGATTTCAACTCCCAGAATTCCCTAGCCAGCCTTGGATTGCAGATTGGGGATTCTAAGAATTGGATTTATAAAGTTGGCAACTTGAAACTTTGTGGATTTCAACTCCCAGAATTCCCTAGCCAGCCTTGGATTGCAGATTGGGGGATTCTAGGAATTGGAAGTTTATAAAGTTGGCAACTTGAAACTTTGTGGATTTCAACTCCCAGAATTCCCTAGCCAGCCTTGGATTGCAGATTGGGGATTCTAGGAATTGGAAGTTTATAAAGTTGGCAACTTGAAACTTTGTGGATTTCAACTCCCAGAATTCCCCAGCCAGCCTGGGATTGCGGGCTGGGAGATTCTAGGAATTGGAAGTTTCTAGGAGTTGGAAGCTTTGTGGATTTCAACTCCCAGAATTCCCTAGCCAGCCTCGGATTGCAGGTTGGGGGATTCTGGGAATTGGAAAGTCCACAAAGCTTAAAAGTGTGCCAAGGTTGTGAAACACTAATCTAGCATCTTTAAGTCTATAACTGAAAGTCCACCTTAGCATTTATGTCTAAGCGTGGTATTTATTACACGCTGGAATTCTTCAAAGTAATTGCACCTTGTAGAAACTACTAGCTGCATGCCTACATATCCAAAGGCAATTATTACACTCCTCTCAGGCTTCAGGAAATGACCTGTTTCAGACGCCGTTAAACCAGAATGTTGGTTGATGGGTTTGAAATCCTTTTGGCATTTTCTCTGGCTCGATGAATTTTATATTGCCACCCTGAATTCTCAAATCTCCCCCGGCAAAGTGGTTTATCCAAGCAACACCAGATAGTTAATACATGTGTTTATTCCCACATTCCCCATTAGTTTTCTCTCGGAGCGGTTAAGAACGGGCACTCTCTCTTTTACTTGTTCCCCAAATCTCCGTTTCCAGCATTTTAGTCCTTCTCATTTGCAACTCGCATTCCATGCCTCAAAACTTGATTTTCCTTGCAGTTCACAATGAAGTCACATTTTCTCCCAACGGCCTTCAAGGCCAAAATCAATAGTAATTCATATAAATGGAAATAACACCCTCCAATGACATTTATTTTACAAGGGGACGCTGAATAGTCTCATTCCTGTAAATGCGCATGATCTCACTGCAGAGGGATAAATAGCAAATTCAGCTTAAAATAGCCGCAGAGAAGACTCGGGTTAAGCAGCAACCGCTATCCAGTTGGACAAGAATGCTGCCCCTCTGATTCTAAATTTTAATATTTTTTTCCTCAATTTGCAAGAACAAGCACGAGGGGCCCCAAGCCAATACAGTTAACCATATAAGCCGGGTTCACATTTTGGAAATGTGGAACACTGAGCATTGTTGGGGGATAATTTCAGGGTTGTCTCCCCCGGGAAGTAGGGTTGGTGGCAGTGGTGGATTGTGCCCGGTTTGGACCGGTTCTATAGAACCGGTAGTAAAACCAGCGGGAGACCCCGATGTCATCAGAAGCGCACGTGACCCCGTTGTAAACCAGTAGTAAAGGTAAGTAGAAC